TATCAGAAGCGAAATGAAAAAGCATATCTGGTTATGATTTTTGTAGCACAAAGAGTGTTCTTTCAAACTGTATATTGCAAGTTAAATTTAGTCTTGATATTTTTTACACATTACAGCTTTTTTCTGGAAGAGACTGTATAATTTGGTCGTTTTTACTAGGTGACCGCTTTAGAATAGCAAAAAAATATTTTTTTGAATTTTTTTTTCTGCTAAATCTCTAGGATCTAACATATTTCAAACAAAAATAACACTCAAAGAATTCAGTTCACATATGATTTCTGGAGATTGTAAATGATATCCTTTCAAATTGATAGTTCTTGCAAAAGACTCTTCGATGCATTTTTTGGTTTGAATTTGATCTATGTAGGTCGAAACAATTGTGAATAGAAGTTTTTCGATTTACAAAAATATTGCAATAACTTTTTTAGGGGTGTTTTATTTTTGACCTCCCCTGCTTCGCAGAATTGCTCTGGAAAAATGCGTTTGGTGCAAGATTTGTCGTTCAGATATTGCTCTTTCCAACAAAAAAAAAAACTGATTGATTTCGAAGTTGACAATCTTATCTAACAGGGTTTGACATTTTTCCAATAACTTTTGTATCGGATATTAGTGGGTGAGTGTAGGTGTTTTCTATTTCATACTCATATCCACCCACACCCCTACATAAATTCTGTGCTGAATGAACAGTGAATCAGATTTTAAAGTTACCATTCGTAGCTCCAAAACAAAAAGTAGTTGAGTCTCATTTGTTTATTTCCATTCATTATTGAATCGTCTGATTATAATGCGCAATCTATTAGTACTTGCGGACGACGAAAGCAGAAACTACTGAACTATATCGAAAAAAACGACAGTATGATCGTGTATATTTTTAGATGTTTGAATGTGTCGACTAAATGTACTTTGTTGATCAATTGGTGTATCATTAAGCACTAGTAATAGAGCTACATTGTCCAATTAAAATGAATGACGACCAATCGTCATCATCATCTTTAGACTTAGCAACATCTGACAATAAGGAACCTGTATTAAAAACAGACGATGTCTTAGTGATTTGGTATGATGCAATCATTGATTCGATAACAGACCGCAAGCTATTTAACGACGAATTGAATGCTTGTATCAATTATTTTACCGATCATCAGTCATGTCTCGACTATGTACAATCAATGCAAAAAAGTACTATTTTTTTTATTACATCCGTCTACTGTGCACGTAACATTATACCTAGTATTCATAAGCTTCGGCAGATTGATTCCATTTTTATTACTTCTGTTTCTGATGAAACAATAGAAGATCTATTAAGGAATTATTCGAAGATAATTGGATTTTTCCACGATAATAAAATATTGACTGATGCAGTACAGGAGAATATTGAATTAGCACAAAAACAAAAGTTGACATTTTCATTTTATAATCAACATCAAAAGTCGACTCGTGATCTATCGAAGGAATCAGCATTATTTCTCTGGTTTCAATTATTTAAAGATGTTATTCTGAATATGTCCAGTGATGATCTTCATGCTAAGCAGGATATGATTGTATTATTGCGACAACGCTATCACAACAATAACAAACAACTGAAATTTATTGCGGAGTTTGAGGAAAAGTATCATTGCAACGAGGCGATTCGTTGGTACACGGGTCAACCATTTCTATACAAAAATTTGAACAATGCTTTGCGTACGGAAGATATTGAACAATTATATATATTTCGTTTCTTTATTTCTGATTTGTGTAAAAGTCTACTACGTGAATTTCAAGTTATCAAAGACTGGGAACCTGTTCTAACCCTTTACCGAGGAACTCGGATATTGATTTCTGAATATGAAAAACTAAAACAGAATGTGGGACAATTAATGTCGATGAATGGATTTTTGTCCACAAGTCTTTCGAAAGAAGTTGCTACTACATTTGCTGGTCAATCAAGTGATACAAAGCAATCGATTCTCATCGAGATTGAATGTGATTTCCGAAAAGTAGAAACAACGATTTTGGCTCAGGTGACTGAATTCAGTACAAATCCTTATGAACAAGAAGTTTTAATCGATATTGGTGCAGTTTTCGAAATTTTGTCTGTTGGTCAAATAGATTCAGAAACAAATTTATTGTTAGTCAAAATGAAGGCAACTGATGAGGGAGCTAAAATTGCAAATGAATATATTCAGATAAATCGGGAAGAACTCAAAGTACAAACTGTATCAATTATATGGGGAGACCTGCTCATGAAGATGGGTCACTATGATAGAGCCTTACAGTATTTTATAAAGCTACAAGCTTCCGATAAAACTATCGAAGATTGGAAATTGCAACTGCATATTGGTCATGTACTACGTGAAAAAGGTGAACTTGATGAAGCTCTTTCCCGGTATATGTACGCGAATGAACTCATTAAGAATCAAAAAGAAAAGCAACCTGCTCAATGGCTCTGTATTTCGATATTATATGACATTGGCATCGTTCAACGATTGAAAGGGTTTTATGACCAAGCTCTGAACTATTTCTTTCAATTTCTTGAATTTTTTGAAACTGAATCAACTGTAGAAAGTGACACTATTCGTAAGCAAGATTTAGCTGCTTGCTTATCGAGTATTGGCAACTGTTATTATAATATGGGCGAATACAATCAAGCAATGACATTTTATACACATGCTCTTCATGAGAAAGAAAACTATTATTCATATAATCATGTTGATATTGCAAAAGATTTAAATCATCTCGGTATTATCTGCAAACGTCAAGGTGAATATGAACATTCAATGAAGTATTTTTCGAAAGCATTAGAAATATTTGAAAAAAGTCTACCATCGGAGCATCACGATATAGCCACTACATTGATGAATATTGCCGATGTTCACGATGAACAAGGAGAGAAAAAAGAAGCATTACATTATCTCATGCAAGCACTTAATATTCAAAGAAAAGCGTTTCCAAATGGTCATCTCGAGATGGCACTTTGTCTTAATAATATCGCTGCCATTTATGCTACGACTGGAGAGCTAGAAAAATCTCTAGAACACAGTCAACTTTCTCTTGACCTCAAACGAATATATCTTAGATCAGATCATCACGATATTGCTATTGGTCTTGCAAATCATGGTAATATTCTGAAACAACAAGACAAAAATGATGAAGCATTTGAATATTACATGAAAGCGTTGCCAATTTATGAAAAGAATTTTCCTGATGGACATCCTGATAGTGCAAATCTCATGTACAACATTGGTTCGATCTATCATGCAAAAGGAGAATATGAAAATGCATTGAATTACTATGAAAAAGCTCGAACAATTCAAGCTCGACATTTTCCCTCCGGTCATCCCAATTTAGCTCTCACCTTAAGTTGTGTTGCGCAAGTTTATCAATCGAAAAGTGAACTATCCATTGCTTCTGAATGCTACAAAGAATGTATAAACATACTGGAAAAGTATTCGACTTCTAATGATCCAATGATGACCAATACATGGATGGCACTGGCCAGTATTTTGATGATGCAAGGCAATTTGATAGAAGCTATGGGCTACTATATGAAAGCCTTCTTGATCGAAAATGATCAAATAGAACACGCTGCTTCAGAGATTAGCTACAATTTGCAGCTAATTGCCTTGGTAAGTGATGCACGAGGACAGACAGAAATGGCTCGAGATTATTGTGAAAAGGCGCTTGTGATTCTTCAAAAATATGATTCAGACAATCGAATTAGTATTATTCAATGCCTTCTTAACATCAGCGAAGTTTGTGAAAAACTAACCAAATATGATGATGCGCTAAGTTCTGCTTTACAAGCACTTGAAATTCAATTCTTGATGAATCCGAATAGCAGTTCAGCAATAATTACTAATCAAAACAATATTGGTTTTCTCTATACGCTAAAAAAGGATTACACTACTGCCCTCACATACTATCTAAAATCAGTAGAGGGTTACGAAAAGCTGTTAACCGACAAAAACCACCAAGCATTGGCAGCAACATTCGATAATATTGCTTGCTGTTATGAAAATCTCCGCAACTATAATCTTGCTATTCAATACTATGGAAAATCGTTAGCTATTTACAAAACTATAATGGATAAGATCGGTATTTCTGTTGAAGAATTGCAGAACCTGAAAAAAACAATTGATGATATTGATGCTCATTGCACTGAATTATTGTTGAAATAAACTGAGCAAATATTTTCTTCTCTTTCAGGTTATACGAAACTTGAGAAATCGCGTTTTAAAAGTCGACATTAATCGATATCAAAATACAATAGTTTTCATGAAAATTTTATCACTCACAATAATATTGGGACAGAGACTGAAGGAACACGAAAAGAATTCATGGCTGTGAACTCTTCACCACTATTCTTGTGACAATTAGCCAGAAGCAAATAGTGCCTTTCTTCATGTTCTAATGATGATTTATGAGAAGTGGATGCGTTCTTTATCCCTTCATCGATTTTTCATTGTTAGACAGTACATAAGGCGCCTATAACCAATTTATATAAAGAGACTGACTCCCCAGGTCTATTACAAGGTGTGGGTGTGGGTTTGGACCCAGGTCTAGATGCCAGTGGCGTGGTGCAAATTAAACACACACTCACACCCAGAAAACATAAAATTTACTTTGGAATAGCTAGACCCAGTGTCATCAGAGACAAAATACTAGAAATTGGTATAAAAATCAACTGCACTTTTGCTTGTATATCGATATTATAAGTTAGGCAAGTGTGTCGTAGAAATTACTTAGCTAGTTAATTTTGTAGAAAAAAAAACATTTCTGCATGATTTGACATGTATCCAATCTTGAACGAACGAGCAGACACAGAGAAAAGCGCAAAATATGAAGGGTCTATAAAGGGCAGACTTTTTGGCCAAGTGCTGAGAAGTGTATAACTTGTATACATCGTGTTTTTTTATTGGAATGCCAAAAAGAGCTAATATTTTGGATTTGAAGTATTCTAATGATGATTTATCGTTTGAGATAATTAAATTCACATCAAAATTTTAGCGGAGTCTGGTTTGGTAGGTTCTATCACAGACCCTCTCTTATACATTGTATGTTTTTGTCTCATAGGGGCAAAATAAAAATATGCATAACTTTTGAAGAAAGCGCTATGCATTCAAATTCTTTTAGGGTTTTACTAGGGCTCTATGTAATATCTGTGAACAAAACTTCATTAAAATCCGAGAGGGTATCTGGTAAGATTCCCTCGTTAACCTGACTTATTCAAATGCAAAAAATATTTATTCCAATCAAATAGATGTTCTTTGTACTTTGTATTTTTTGTAATTCAGATTATGATGAAGACATATTCAACATCTAAATCTAGATGAATGATCCAAAGTGAAATATTTTCATTCACATGAAGGACAACTAATATAAATAAATTATTTAGTTTGGTCTACTGCAGATTATTTACGTTTCGTTAATACTATTACAGCAAACACAAAAATCATCTGGCTATAAATAGGATACATTTTGATACTTTATTCAAAAACTGATTGTTTTTTGAGAAATAATTATGATTGACAAATCTTTTCATCACTATTCGGTCAGCTGTAAAAGAATCGGAAGGAAAAATGTCGAAAAAAATATCGGCGTGGAAAATGGTCCAAAGTACTTCAGAAAATTCTAACTAGCAAGACGCATGCTGAATTGTATGGAAAAATACTAACATACTAATAGAGATCAATCATAAGTCAAGAGGTAACTAAGAAAATGTTGTAGTGTTATTTGGTCTCGTTTAGGAAATTGAATTGATAAATCATCTAAATCTTCTATAGCAATTATATATAATAACGTCATAATATTGTTCATCAAGGTTTTCCATACGATATTGAACTGTGATGAAACATCTGGCCATTTTAGGTCACTTAAATCTCGTTAAAATAGAGCCGCTGCAACCATGATAATAGAATTTTAGTTGTATTAAATTTCTTTGTCCGACTTCCAACTTAATCTATATCAGGTGTTATTAATCACCATTACTAGTGAAGAAATTTAGTCAATGAGAGTCATCATTTACTAGAGACATCACTTTTTTGCTATTTTTCATTTCTACCTATTTTCAATATAGTGACGAATTCGACCACGTGACATGAGTTGAATGATAATGACCAACATCATGTCACACGATATTTGAATGTTCATATACAGCTTCTTCTCGATTGATTCTTATAATTACTATTGTAATGAGGGTTAGATAAAAAGAATTGTGTAACAATTGTTTTGAAAAAAATATTAGAAATCTAATGGACGAATTGAATCGGCTGCACCAACCTTAGAATAACTTTTCAAATCATTACTAAATCATGAACTAGATTTAATTTGATAGATATATCATTAATAGAAGGTTAATTTTGGTGAAATCATAGTGTTGGCTTCAATATAGACTTGGAGTCGGTGTGATAGGATCGAATTGAAATCTATATCTAAGCAACAAATACTTTTGTCAACCGAGTAAAAATGAAGTTCTTAATTGATAACCAACATAACACTTTTACTAATGAGGTCTTCTATACATTCAAGTATTTAATATAGATCCTATTATGACTTAAAGTTCATACCAATGGTTGTTATACTGGTGTGCTAGAGAAATGTCGAAAGGAAAAATGTCGAAAGGAAAAATATCGAAGGAAAAATATCGAAAGGAAAAATGTCGAAAGGGAAAAATATCGAAAGGGAAAAATGTCGAAAGGAAAAATGTCAAAGGGGAAAAATGTCGAAAGAAAAAATATAGTAGAGGAAAAATGTCGAAAAATAAATATCGAATTATTGTTGCTTTTCTTATGATTCTACCAGTTTAGATTCTAAACCAGTAGTAATGGGGATGACTAATATCTGATATAAACCAGCTAAAAGAGTTGAACAAAGAACTATTATATAACTAAAATTCTATCTTCATGGCTGCAGCTGTTCCATCTTCATCAGATTTAAAAGAAGCAAAGCCTCCAGCTATTTCATTTATAAATTCACATAAAGGAAAGCCTTTGCTAATAGCAGACGAATATGTTTTCAAATTGAATAAAACAACAACTACTACCAAATAGCAAGCAAAAACAATTGCTATTCAACGCGGTATAGATAATCTTGGTGAACGATATTATGACTGTGCTATAAATGCTATGGA